CTTTGCCCTCGCATCCCCCCCCAACTCCCCCACCCACCCACTTTTTTTTATTCCCTTTGTCCAGCCATTTTTTGCCCCCCTGACACCGGTCCAGACTCTGTTTGGGTCCGGTGATCTCTCGATGTCTGGTGGCATCCGGATCACCGGACAGCGCTGACCAGTCCAGACACTCGTCCGGAATACAGCCCGAAAGTGTCCGGTGTCCGGGTCCACGGCTACCATGGCTTTTCGTTAGCAACTTTTACCAATGCCAGTTTCTTTTTTTTCTTTTTTCCTTTCAAAACGCCCCCTATTGCCACCATCATTTTCTGTTCGACACCACTAGTTCCTTTACCGAGTGGGAAACTAGTGTTCCTCGGTTGGGCCTCCGACCTTTTTCAGCAGGCCGCAACGAGCTGACGGCCACCACCAGATTTATCAATGGCAGCTGTCCTCGGGCCCAGCCTACAAACTCTTCTGGTACAGCCCTTTTCCCTAATTTCCCAACCGTTGCGGAGATACCAGTGCTTTAAATCGCAGTACCAAGGAGAATTCGGACATCCCATAGTACAGTACAAATTCTCCTCATCCGACACTGCCACTTCGTGGCCTCGGACATGTAAGAGTCATACAAACCCAATTGCCTCGGTATTTCTTAACCTTGAAAACCAAGCCAAGTTTGATTCTCAGGGAGGTACTTATGCTTGGATCAATTGGCAAAAAAATTGAAAAAATAATTTGAAAGGTTAATCGTAAAATGGTACCAAATAGCGCTGATTCCAAAAAAGACTTAAGTTTTCTATGTGACCGTTAAAACCACCAGCACATGGCCCCAGCCACATCGAGAATCACAATTGCGTCAAGGCTAGCATTTATGAGGCTTGGGGCAACCGAACCTCAGTGACGGACGGCACTTATAGCCAAAACAAAAACAAGAACGCCACGCTGGCATTTTCGCAAGGGGGGAATCCGCCTTGTACAAAAGAGGCCTGGATGTACTGATGTTTTTAAGGGGATAACCATTCTGTTCCAACACTGAGGTCTCAAACAATCTCAAAAAGCGTTCAGTGCAGAGTCTCCGAACACTTAGCAAGGTCTCAAACAATGTCAAAAAGCAAATGCCCGCCGTGGTCCGCCGCCGCCGCCGCCGCCTCCTCACCCCCATTCCTTTGCCACCTTCTCCTCCTACACATTCTCTACCACCTGCTCTCAATACCATGCCCCCACACCAGTCCCCTTCTGCAACCTCCTCCCGCCCCACGTCCTTAGTCATGTCCTTCTCCTCCCCCCTGGCCCCCTTCTGCCGTCTATGCGGCCAAACAAAGAAAAGGACAACCCACATAACGACGACGTCCATGGGCCTCTCTTCAGTGAACATTCAACATGTGTGGACTGACTCACGATCAAGCCACAAAAGACAAAAAAAAACATACCCAAAGAATAGGCATAACTCAGCCCTCGGCTCTGCCAGGTGGTGCTATGTGGAATGAGCGGTATCATGTGCACTGCGCAGTGCAATGTGGGCCTTCGGCTCTGCCAGGTGGTGCTATGTGGAATGGGTGGTATGATATGCACTGCGCGGTGCCATCTGCGGTGGGTCATACTATGCGCACTGGACGATACTAACTCACACAGCCATGAAAGCACACACACACAATGGCTTGCATGATGCTAGTTGGATGGTACCATCGTGGAGAGAGAGCGAGAGCGGGAGAGATAGATAGATAGATAGATAGATAGAGAGAGAGAGAGTTTACGGATGAGCAATGGACCATCAGACTAGTGAGAGTCTGCTGATGCTCAAAAGTCCTCTCGCGATCAGGAGGAAAAGCAGAAGAATACCTCTTTACCAGAGAATGTGTGGGATACCCTGCAGGCAAAATCTCATTCGGCAAAAACGCTTGATGGTTCCAGACATCTTTCAATGACACAGAAGCGGGTCCATATCAATGGCACGCAGCCCTATAAAGTACCCCGATCAATTGGATGAGGGAAGCATCTTTACTGCCATCTCATTCCGCGGACTACCACTCCATAACGTCCGCAGCATCCACTCACTCCATGGGCTGTGCGACATCAAAAACTATTAAAAGCCGGCCCACGGAAGGATGCACCGCACAAGCCGTCTCTGCATCATTTCCAATTGGAAACACAATGTGAGCTGCTATGGACCAGTAATCCTTCCAATCCACCTCCCATGCTTGCATGCCACACACGCTACCCCTTATTCCCTCTCATGTCAACACATCCATCAAACCAAACTGCCTGAAATCAGACCGACCTTCTTACAGGAAGGACTTCAGCACCCATCGATTGGAGGAAGTACCACAGAAGAGCCGCCACATGTGAACCGCCTCAAGAAGACAGCTTCGTCTTTTTCTCTTCAGCACCCCTCTCCAAAGTTCAGAAATCGCTCGATACATACCCTGGTAGCATTGTATCGTGAAACACAGGCTAGAGAAACCGTCCGTCACTACCCCTCGATTGGCGTCATCGTCTTACATCTGCAGAGGGAACACACTGTCATGCAAAACACCTCAAACAGACAGCCAAACAACTCTCCAGCACACAGGAGTCGCCTCTTTTGCCACGACTAGATGTGAACGGACTCTTCATCACAGGCTCTTGGAACAGCAGTCCCTTGTGAGGGACACGATTCTTCAGCAGTATCCAGCATGCTGGAGGCCCTAATGCCATACACAATCAACTCCCTTCGATCACGGTTTGCACAAGTGCACCTATAAGGGCAGTGCCAACAACATAAACCAACAGCCAGTTTCACAACAAATGGTTCGAAAACCAAACCATGGAGCATTTGATGTAAGCCCACCCTTGTCCGGAGAAGGAAGAAGGGTCCGTAGCAACAAGCCGAAAACATCAGCACAAAAATTGACAAAATAGAAAAATGAAAAATCCAATTTACAAGCGACCATGCCCCTCTGTAGTATCCTAGCGGCTCCCACACGGGCCCCTTAGGCCCGTCATCCCCTTTGTCGGCGCCAGGCCGTTGCACATCCCTTTCCGCGCGACTTGGAGGGCAAAGCCTCGCCTCTTAGGCCTTTACATGTTTTCTCCATTGGGCATTTTTCCTATTTATTAATTCTTCACATTTATTTACTTTTTGCTGAGTGGAGTAAAGTTCAATTTCGTTATCTGGTCTAGTCTTTCTCAGACGTGCCCTTTCTGACATCTCTATTTGTCCTAACAGGGAGATGCCTGTTTGGACGAGTGGATTTTGATTCAGGCCGAGTAGGCCAGTTTCAGCTTCGTCAGAACCAGGCGTTTGTCTGTCTGTGCCTTGCCCAGTCCTCAGGGTCCTGCAGCATCAGCAGGACCGCCAATCAGATACTAGATTGTACGGCCCGGATTGCAGACCGTAGAACTGTAGGCCACCCAGCCACGCCCAGTGGTATATAGCTGGGCCAGTCCTCAGCCTGTGACATTCATTCAGCTCGATCAGACTTCTGTACTCGCTGCTGAAGGGGCAGCGGTTGGTGGGAGAATCGAGCTGCGCTAGAGTAGCAGTCGGAGGAGAAGAAGGGAGTAGGATTGTGCAGGCTGGTGAGACATAGCCGCGAGGGAGTGAAGACTTACCTGGGCGCCATAACTGCTTCGCTCCAGCGACCAGCATCAAAGGGCCACCATCGTTGCTGGTCAGCACTCGTGAGCATCATCGCAATCACGTGAGAGCGCAAGGAGTCTTCTTCTTCTTCGACTTCTTCCTCTTCTGCTCCCTGACTCTTCTCTGAACCTCCATAGCAACTCTCTTCTTCTTATTGGTGTGTGTGTGTGTGTTGAGTGTGTGTGGTGTGTGTGTGTGTTGAGTGTGTGTGTG